TTCATGGCTATTAAATATGAATAGCCCAAGGTCAGGGAAGGTCATGGCATGCATTTAGCACCAGTGACCAATGCCAAATGTAAAGGTCAAAGTGGATTTGCCTGAGTTGGAGCAATAAGACATTTGCTCGTCCACATATATGCATCCCCTTGACAGTGATTTATGGAGGGAGATAAGCGTACAGATGGGAAGAAAACACTCTCTTTCTCCTATCCCGTCAGACTCTGTAAATATACTACTCACTCATATCAATCACCATGTCACAGTGAATCGCCACTGTATGCTTCCTGCTCAGATTAAAAACTGCCTTTGTTTTGCTCCGTCTTCTCCCTCCAGCCCTGGGGAACACACTGGCAGTATTGTTGCTATTTCACACACTTTGTATTAGCATTTCAAACAGCTGTGGTATAAAAGTAGTGAGTATGCTCAAAGTCAGCAGAATGCTTTAGTTATGTGCCATCTTCCATGGATAGATTCCATATTGTATCAATCAAATGCTCATACCAGAAGTAAGGGCCTCAATTAATTGTGACAATTCTACAAAAAAAGTGTTTGTTTTTTTTACATTTTGTTATATGACAAAGTGCTTTTTAAAAAAATGTTTCCCCACTTCTATTTATAGCATCATTGAGGAGACTGTTATGTTATTTTATCCCCCTTTGATGGGTTTCCCTGCTTTTCACTTGAACAAAAAACACTATGCCCTTTAATGTAATCAGTATTCCAGGGCATTTAAAAGAATTCAGGTTGGAGCAGGTTTTATGCTTATAAAACAAATCGCTGCAGATTAGAATCAGTTTTCCCCTCTTCTGTCCTCTGCAGGACAAAATTCCTGTTCTGCAGCCAAATGGGCTGTTCAGCATTTTGCAGGAGTAGCCTCTCTGGCTCTTTGACTTTTCTAGGCCTCTTGAACATGAACATGTTCTCCATGTCCCTCTAGGTCCTTAAATGTGAAAACCAGCCCATCACTGGTGCACCACAGCCTTTGCGAATGACCCCCAAGTGGTTCAGTATCCAGCCAGAGAAAAGTCCAAAAAGAAAACATGCTTTTGAACTGCTGGCCAGAGCGGAAACATGGTTTAGTACACTGCTTTTTATCCTGAGCCATAAAGATGCATTTTCCTTTTCTACAAAAGCAGTAAATTTTCTCTTCACCTTTATTACACATATTATGTTTTTCCACAGCTAGATCAAGAGGTGATAATGCATGAGACCATAGGAACCATTACCTGACACTTTGTTTAGTTCCTCATTAGTCTGCACTTCAGCTCGCATACAACTTCATACTGACAAGCACTTATTTAACACCATAAAAAGATACAGTAGTTAAAATCTAAAGCAAAATATTTCTCCTCAAGACATCATATCAATTTCATGGCATCAACTGCAGAGGTCAGCTTTGAGG